GTGCCACATTTTGTGGTACGAAACTATTTAGTAATAAAGATGCCTAGTGGATTTTGTTGATTGTTGTACCTTAATTTATATATATATATATATATATAATAACGTCAACATTTATGAACTTCCTCCCTGCAAATTCGCGCTTGCTTGCGCTTACGAGTTTATGAATAGCAAGTGACATCTTTGGTCAGTGGAGACCGCGGTGTACGCTGATTAAGTTTCAATTTCATTTTAACTTTCATAGACGCTGTCTGTAACGCATCATGGATTGCCGTCTACGAAAACGATGCCCGCGGTCAACAGGTCAGCGGTTCTCTGAATAACCTCATGAACGATGTCCGCGCAGGGGCCTCGGTACGAGTTCTGCTCGACTACACAATCTATCAGGCAGATTTTGCGCATGTCGTTGAAGAAAAAGTCGTAGCTGTCCAGTTACTACAATCTGTTGCCAGGGCAACGTGGAACACGTTCAAAAAAGATGGCGAGTGGGAATGGATACTAGTTTCAACGAACGGCGTTAAACATCAAGTGAGATACGAAATTGGCGCAAGTACTTTCAAAGGTGAGCAATACAACAAGGCAAATGTGAAATGGTTCACTAAGAAACAGTCGTGCTATAAGAAGCCCGTTTTATCACACGACAAAAACGGCGAAATTCTCAGTGGTTCTTTGGTTGATTTGATGACATCAGTTCAGGGCGGGTCAGACATCCGTTGTTGTGCTGGCGACAGCGCTTTTCCTGTTCAAAGTTTGGACATGACAAAATCCTTCGTTTCTGGCCAAAATGTTGATCATGTGAGCGTAATATACGATTCGCATAAAAAGACGTTGGTGTTTCAAAATAACGCCTATTGGTGGTTCACACTTCAAAGCACGCTCGGCACACGTGATATGTCGCGGTGGACCGTTGGAGAGCATACCTCGCGTGGACACACGCAAAGTCGCGTGAACATTGATTGGTTCGCGGACCCATGTTGGAAACTGGTGTTCGCGCATGACAAGCGTGGTGTTGCCAAATCTGGATCGCGAGCGGACCTCGTGAGTGCAATCAAAAACGGTGCACGCGTTCGTGTCCAGATCCCTTCATATCGCACGGCCGAAGCCGACAACTTATCGATTCGAAATGGCCACGTAACCGCGCAGTTGCTGAAACGTCTTACTGAGAAAAATCTAACGCGAATTGCCGATGACACATCTTGGTTTTGGCAGATGATTTCAACCACAGGCAAAGTGACGTCGACGCTATATAAAGTCGGGGAGCACAAACACGTGTCAACCACCTCATCCTATGAAGAAATCCGCTGGTTTATCGATACCAAACCGTGGGCTCTAGTCTATTCTCACGACGCGCGAGGCCAACCCATTGAAGGAAACGAAAAAGATGTGGTACGCGCAGTGCAGTCTGGGCATAGGCGTACCGGGCGGGGGGGCGGGGGGGGCGGCAGCCCCCCCAGTTTTTTGGGCAGTCGGGCAATTTTCGATGAACAGTCGGGCAATTTTGGTTTGCAATAAAAAAAAATGGGTCAAATTCTGTCAATTTTGTCTAAAATTAATTCAATTTTTTGGCAAATTTTGTTTTTTTCGAAAATTTATGTTAT